CACCACCCACCCACTCACCTACTCACTCTTATTCTCTCTCTCCATTAACCATTCATCTTCTAAGCCAATTCTTCCTTCATTGTTTTCTAAGTGATTTCCTTCCATAATCTAACGAGATTCCACTCCTTTTCCTTCTACCCTAACGCTGTATCACTTTCACAAACTAAATATGTAACACGAAAGATCTAATTCGGTACACACAAAACGCCGTAGTAATTACAAAACGAGCCATAAAAGGGGCTTAACGGGCAAAGTTAGGCTCACCTCGCTAATGAATCTGACTGGACCTTTAATATCCCTCCAAACTTGTTGACAAGTTCGGAATCCTTGCTCAGATAATTAGGCCTTTCCCTCTTACCCCGTCCTTCTCTCATCAACTTCATCACTCTTTCCCCAAGTCTCCCTCTCCCTCTCTCTCTCTCTCTCTCCTCTAATCACCAGCGTCTGTCTCCTTGCTCTGACTGCTCTCCTATCTCGGCGACCTCCCTAATCATGGTGTAATCCCTGCCCTCCCTTCCGTCTCCTAATCCAAGCCAGTTTATCCCAAGCCCCAGAGCCGAGCGTGACGGTCCTCGCCAGGCACTCGCGACCCAAGCCCCCCCCCCCCACCAGCCACCTGAGGTACCCTGGCCTGTCCCCCGAGGATGCCCTAATTACACAAAACGGCCCTCTTATCTCCTCGACCGTCGCTCGACCTGTGTTGTCTTGGCGAGGCTTCTTCTCCCCTCTTCAGGCTGTTGATGCAATCTCCCGCCAGCCGAGCTAAGTTATCCGATCTTTGCCTTAATCGCCCGCCCCTTAAAACGTAATTATACTAGAAGGCGTTCAGTGTTAAGTCAAGCAGCAAACATAACATACACACCCTGATGGGCACTATAAACACAAAAAGGGCAATGCCACTCACCTGGATATTCAGTTCTAGGTTTTTCCACTGACAGAATCTTGTGTACTTGTCGCTAGAAAGAGAGAGAAAAAACACATTAGCACATAACGACAGCGCGACACGTTCCCACCAGCCTGCGACACGTTCCCCCCAGCCTGCGACCGTTCCCCAGCCTACCACACATTCCCCAACCTGCGACACGCCCCCCCCCCAGCTACGAACACGCCCCCAAAAAAAACCTGCGACACGTTCCCGCCGATCATCCCGCGGCCCCGGAAATAGTCTAAAAGCGGCCGCGACTCCCGTGATGGATTCATCAAAGGAACGCGCCCCGTCGAGTTACACCGGAATTCGGTTCCAATTTCGGGTAACTTTATAACGGGCGCGCAATTTGCCTCCCCGCCGCAGCCGAGCATGTCGTCCAAACTTTTTCACTCAAGACCAAACATTCTCGGAGGGAATAACAAGAGCGATCGTAAAACTTCAGAGACTTTAACTGCGCACTTACCTGTAAAATAAGACATTAGTATGGTCTTTTGAAATGATGGGAAAGATGATGCCCCATAAAACCACAGCGTAATTTTGTTTTCTCTCTCCCGCTCACAGTACCGGCAGGGAGAAAGCGATCCCCATGGTTACATTGCGTCACCACCGTTACCAAGGAGCACCAGAATGACCTCCTATTGCGAAACATCATCTACGTATTACAGAATGACACATCAGCTCTCCCGGGGTCTGACAAGTGCAGTTATTCCATTCCACACGCAAACTTTTCCCCTTTATTTTACATTTTCTTTCTCTCATTTTCTGCATCTGACATCAGCACCAACCCTTACATACCCCCCCCTCCCTGGCCTCCTCCGTCGTAACAAGCATGCAGCGCCCCCCCCCCTCCCTTCCCTCCCTCCCCCAGGCCACAGGCGCGAGGGGGCCAGCGCCGACCGGACCCTTTGACTTAAAACACTGCAATCGACCGTTAAACGCGAGTGAGATTAATTTCCGCTTACGACTGAAAAAAAAAAAGTAAAAAAAAATAAAAAAAAAGAGGAAAAAAAAAGCGAGAGTTGGAAGAGAACACACGGCCAGCGCGCGCTAAAACATCCGAGGTTAATCCTTTCCTTTCCTGCGCCAGTTTTCCGCGGGACAAAATGCCTCCCGCGCAATCGCCATTTCCTTGTTCCTCCGTCGCGCCCGATGCCATAAAAGGGCGCCATCCCTTTGGCCTGGAGGACGCCGGAGGACAGAGGGGGAGGGAGGGGGTGGGAGGAGAGAGAGGAAAGGGGAGAGGGGGAGGATAGGGGAGAGGGGGAGGATAGGGGAGAGGGGGGAGGAAAGGGGAGAGAGAGGGGGAGGAGAGGGTTGAGGAGAAAAGGAAAAGAGAAAGAGGGGGGAGGAGAAAGGAAAGGGGAGAGAGAGAGAGCGGAGAAGAGAAAGGAAAGTGGTGAGAGAGGGGAGAGAAGAAAGGAAAGGGAGAGAGCGGGCAAGAGAGAAGGGAGAGGGGAGAAGAGAGAGGAGAGTGGAACGATGAAAGGGGAGAAGAGAGAACAAATAGAGAAGAAACCGGAGAGGGGAGAGATGAATGAAGAGCAGCAAGGAAAAATGAATAGGAAGGACAGGAATGAAGTCAAAAAAAAAAGAAGGAAAGACGTAAAAAGGAAAACGGAAGAGAGGCTAGATAGGTAAGAGAGGGGGAGGGGGGGGAGGGGAGGGGGGACAGAGCGACCCCCCGAAGACACACCGCGCATCTGGCTCCTCCTACAGCGTCTAGAACGATGATCAAAGAGATGGACCGAAGATATCCCTGAAGCTCGCCAGGGAAGCTTCAGAAGCAGCGACGCCATTGTACTCCGGCCGGAATGACAAGCGCTTTTACGTGCAAAGAGTTAACTGGGGGAGAGGGAGGGGAAGGGAGGGGGGGGGGAAAGGAGGAGCCGGGAAAACACGGCGACGACCGCTGGACGTGTGCGCGATGGAGTGCGCATACATACATGTATAGATACACACACACACACACACACTCACACACACAAACACACACACACAAACACACACATACACATAGCATATGCATTCCTAAACATTGAAACAAGGGTTAGACTACGAGAATGAAGCCTCGCAAGGCAAATGAAAACTAAAATACTTTCCCTCATCCTAAAACTTTCGCTGAAATTACGCGAAGGAAAAAAACAAACAAACAAACATTCAGACGTGTGTCCATTCAGCAAGAGCAACTGCAGGAACATGTCTCTGCCAAACGCAAGAGTATCTCTTTAGCAGCTGTAGGAGTATGTCATTACCAAAAGCATCTGTTCGAGCCTGTTTTGCCAAAAGCGACCGTAAGAACGGGCCTTTCCCAACCGCAAGAAGGCGTCTTTCCCACAGCAACTCCAAGAATATGTAAGTGGTTAACAGGGACAGCTGCAAGAACTACCGCAAGAACACGTGCTTGATAAAGTGGCGGCGGGCGATGAATGGCTGCCGCGCACTGGAGTGAAAGCGGGAGAAGGAGACGGAGGAGAAATCGTTAGCGCCTAAGAGCCAAAGGGAAAGGAAGGACACAAGCTACCCGAAGATGAAGAGGAGAACGCGAGCAAAGCAATGGAAAAACATCACAAACACAAAAACAAGAAACCAGACCTCCTGGGAACCCATCTTTGATGTTCTCCTGTTGATGTTTCCAGAAAACGAAGGCCGCTCGCGACCACTTTCCCTCCGCCCCCCCCCCGCAAAAATAGCAGCGGGGGGGGGGGGGGCAGGGAGGGAGACTGAGCAAGGAGGGGGAGCGGAGTGGGTGGGGTGGGGGTGGGTCCTGCAGGATGACCAATTTGGACTCGGCGAAGGATGCGACACCGAGAGGCCATTGCACAGAGGACACGAGCGAAGCGGGCTTGGAGCGCGACCAAGATGTCCCCATCTGTTTCGTGCGCGGAGGAGGCACCCAGGCGCGGAGATTGGCCGGGAGGAGCGCCCCGCCGAGGCACAATCGCGGGGATGAGCACCTCCGGCCACGCACACGCACGCAGCCGAGGACCCCGAGAGGTGGGCGCGGTCGGGGAGGCGAAGCGACTCGGGGACAAAGCAGCCTCCGCCAAAACCTCCCTCGCATCGACGCCTCGCCCCAAAACGTCCCACGAACGAGGCTCATTCACTGCTTCGCCAGGAGGACCAGCGGCGTCGCGACAGCCGAGCCTGGCGAGCGCGAAGCCGACGGCGGCGCGGGAGCCTCGGGTCCGGCGGAATCGTCCGCTCGAGTGGCGCCGCCGCCGCCGTGACGCGCAGACGAATGAGATTTTTCGGGAAACTTTTTGGAGAGTCCAACCCCACGGAAAATGGATATAATCCGGTAAAAAAAAAAGAAAAAAAAAGGAAAAAAACACCAACAATACTAGGAATTGGAAAAAATCCGGAGGTCGGGAATTTCCCACGAAGACGCGAAAAGACAGGCCATGGAGACCCGGGAAGGGGAGGGGGGGCAGACGAGAGCGGCGTATCTATCTATCTGTCGAGAGGAGAGAGAAGAAGGAGCGAGAGAGTACATGAAGAAGAAGGAGAGAGGAAATGAGAGGAGAGAGAGAGATAAGAAGAAGATAGAGAGAGAGAAGAGAGAGAGAGAGAGAAGAGAGAGAGAGTGGAAGAAAGAGAAGAGAGAGAAGAGAGAGAAGAGACGGAAAGAGAAGCATGGAGGAGAGAGCTAGGAGGGATGAGAGAGAGTGAGAGTGGGATATCTGTAGAGTAGATTATGAGAGAGGGACGAGCACGAGAATGAACTACAGAGTAGTGTAGTATTAGACGCAGAGGAGAGAGAACCAGACGAAGAGAGGCAGACGAGAGCAGGAGAGTAGAGAAGAAGAGAGAGAACTGACTGGAGACGTGGGTAGAAATGAGAGTAGTGGCGACGTAGCAGAAGGAAAAGTAGGCGAAGAGGAAGCGAAGAAGTGCGGGCCGAAATCGGAGGCGAGAGAGGAATAAAGACGGGAGAGAAGAGAGAGGAGAAGGAGGATGACTAGAAGGCGAAAATGTGGCGCATTGGTGGATGGGAAACTCCATGAAGAGATTCACCGGACAGAGTGACCTGAAGTGTAGGTGGTAATTATATTACATACCAGTTTGCATGTGTGTGCTGTAGTTTGTGTGTGTTGTTGTGTGTGTGGTGTGTGTGTGGTGTGGGTGATGGGTGGAGGGTGGGTTTGGTGGGCAACACACGAGCCGCAAAGCTGAGATTGAGAGTAAGAGGTAAAGATAGACGAGAGAGGATGAGAGTAGGGAAAGGTGGTAAAAGCAGAGATAAATAGGGTCAGATAAAGGTAAATCTACCGAATCTATTTATGAAGATAGATAGGAAACTCAACACTTTATAGGTCAAACACACACACACCTACATAATACATACACATACACTAGTCCATACACACACACACACACAACACACACCACACACAGCAGGACCACACTAACACACACGACGACACCACGACGTCGACAGACACGAACATTTCGACAGGGACGACACAGCACTGAGGTATCATACTGAAAGAGATAAGTATATGATATATATAATACTATATATTATATATTATTAACTATATATCATATATATATAGTATATATATTATATATAATATATATATATTATATATTATATATAGTATATATATATATATATATCAACTCACATACTAAAATACATCAGCACTACCACACAAATGTATGTAGTACAAAAGTAGGAAAGTCACTTTCTTGTATACACCATGGACAGGACAAGGTGTAAGAAGACTCTAGTGAGAGGGAAAGAGAGAGAAGAGAGAGAAGAGAGAGAGAGATGAGAGAGAGAGAGAAGAGGAGAGAGTAGAGAGAGTAGGAGAGAGAAGAGAGAGTGAGTCTTGAGTGAGTGTATGTAGTGGTGAGGTGCAGTGAGTGAGTGAGTGAGTGAGTGTGAGTGAGTTTGCGTTGTATAGTGAGTGAGCTGCGTGATTGACGTGAGTGAGTGGGAGTTAGAGAGAAGAGAGAAGAGAGAGAGAGAGAGAGAGAGAGAGAGAGAGGAGAGAGAGAGAGGAGAGAAGAGCGAAGAGAGAG